TCTCGTCACAATTGCCAAGAAATGGAATCAGTCTGGATGCATGGACGGATCAGAAGATAATATTGTGGTCCATAAATACAGTAGAATTTTACTCAGGTGTAAAGAAAATCCAAATTGTGACGTTTGCCGGAAAATGGATGAAACTGGACAATACTACCTGAATGAGGAAAGCCAGCAAATGATGGACGTTTCTCCCTGTGTAGAGATTGTAGCTTGACTTCTTAGTGTATTTAATTTAGGGTGCTTATAGAGGCCAGGAATCTAGAAAGGGACCTGGCGGAGGTGGGGTAGAGACATTAAGGAAGGAGGGAGAGTGATATGAATGTAGTGTGGGGATACTATAATCGGTCTAGCAGAAATGAAAATATTCTAAAGAGATACTTGAAACAATGGGCCACCCACTTTCTCCCCCTAATTAGAATTCCCCAGGAATCTCATACTGGGTGAAGAAAAGAGCCCCAGCCAGAAGGAAAATTTGTGCCCCAGAAAGATATTTCATAGTTTTAACAACTTGTCAGACCATACATGTCACCATACATGAAGAGATTGAAGCCCAGACAATGGGTCAATGGTGGGTGAGATCACACCTTGACCAAGACTGCTGAGATGTGCATATCTCTTCCCTGGCCCTCTATTCAAACCTCACTTTGGGACCCCCAAAGACAGACTTGCAGGGTGTCTTAGTCAGTGTTCTATTGCTGTGAAGAGATACAGAGACCATGGCAACTCTTATAAAAGAAATAATTTAATTGGGGCTTGCTTACAGTTTCAGAAGTTTAGTTTTCCTCATGGTGAGGAGCATGCCAGCACACAGACAGACATGGATCTTCCCTTTTGGCCTGAGGATTCGGTAGTGGTGAGAAGCTTCTCTAGTGCCTTATTCCTTTGTCTCTCTGATCTTTCAGCATTTACCCCCATATCTGGCTCCAGGTTTCTATTATAAGACCATTTACGATTCGTGCAACATCGTTGGAGCAGTAGCTGAGAGTTCTACTTCTGGATCTGCAGGCAGCAGGAAGAGCCACTAGACCCGACTTGCTTGAGCTTTTGGAACTTCAAAGCCCACCCCCAGTGACACACTTCCTCCAAAGTGGCCACACTTCTTACTCCTCCCAAACAGTGCTGCTTCCTGGTGACCAAGTATTCAAATCGATGAGCCTATGGGGGCCATTCTCATTCAAACCACCACAGAGGGGACCCCCAGATCTCTGTCCCTCTTCCCAATGTGGCCACAATTGACTAAATTCCCTTTTCTGCCTTCCACTATAAATTTGGCTCTTTTAATTGTCTTAACTGAGGATGGGCGGCTGAAACAGGCTAGAGGCACAGGCTGTGAACACTGGGAGTGGAGGTCTTTAAACAAGGGCAGGAGTGCTCTGAAGACGGGGAGTTAACCCAAACCAAGGGGGCATATAAAAGCCTAATGACACCCTAGTCCCTTATAAGCTTTTAAATATATATATACATTACCAACTAATATATTGATAATGCTAAATATATATTTAAAATTTATAAATGAATAAGTTCCCACTAAGCTTTTAGATATATGCGGGGGTGGGGGGCACTTAGCAGATGGCTAGATAATATTCTCCCAAGAAGCCATGGGGTTAAGTGAAACCCTCAGTGCCAAGTGTGGGATACCTCCTTACAATTCTTCGGTCAGGGAGACCTCACACTCAATACCGACCATTGGCGTTGCTCTCGGTCGCTCAACAGAACTGAACAGTCAAGAGCCACGGCTGAAGAAACCACAAGCTGCAGTTTCAGGACACAGGAATCAAGCTGGAGCCCAGCTGGCAGTTCCTCCATGCTGGCTAGCATTCAACACGCCTGCCGGTGCTATGCAGTCTGCTGGGGAAGAAAAGCCATCAAAGGTCTTACCTAACTGTGAACCCCACAAGTTGCAATGATTTGCCCGGCAAGATGTGCCCACTGGTACAATAGTGGTGTGGCTATAATGGGAATAAGCAGTCACTTTGTGATAGGATTTGAGGACCACTTCACTGGAGGGAGCTCGTGCCCAGTACTGTAAACCTGGTCAAGAGCTCATGGGTGGGGAAGTCATGGTCCCTACTACCACTCATTTGCACACTTGTGTCCAACTGCCCTCTAAATTCCTATCCTTATATTCACAGACATGTACCACTAGCAGCCTTTGTCAGCGAAGCTTCTTTACATAATAGGCAGTGGCTAATGGAGACTCATAACCGGCAAAAGTGCGGAGAGTAAGTGCCCATTGAGGGTTCAGCTGTGGTGATATTGTGTTCCCCAAAATATTGTGCACCCTAATAAACTTATCTGGGGTCAGAGACAGAAGAGCCACTAGATAGACACAGAGGCCAGAAAATGATGGCACTCACACCTTTAATCCTAGCACTCCAGAGGTAGAAATCCCTCTGGATCTCTGTGAGTTCAAGGCCACATTGGAAACGGCCAGGCATGGTGACACACGCCTTTAATCCCAGAAAGCAGCCTTTAATCCCAGGGAGTGGTGGTAGAAGGCAGAAAGGTATATAAGGCGTGAGGACCAGAAACTAGAAGGATTTGGCTGGTTAAGCATTTGGCTGGTTAAGCTTTCAGGCTTCTAGCAGCACAGTTCAGCTGAGAGCCATTCGGATATGAGGACACAGAGGCTTCCAGTCTGAGAAAACAAGACCAGCTGAGAAGTTGGCCAGGTGAGATTAGCTGTGGCTTGTTCTGTCTCTCTGATCTTCCAGTGTTCACCCCAATACCTGGCTCAGGTTTGATTTTATTAATAAGAACTCTTTAAGATTCATGCTACATCCAGCCCCCAGCAGGGCATCATTATACCCCGTTCCAAGGTTCTGGGAACATTTTCCGAAGTGGGGGCATAAAGAGTGTGAGAGCTGGAGGATGGGGAGGAGTGCTCAGAATAGACACGGCTGCTGCATTCATGGACTCACAGCCGCTGTGGTTACACGCACAGGACCTGCCCTGGACTGGGCCTGTTGATGACTCACCGTGGAGGAGGGGCTCATAGGCAGAATGTTATTAAACTGTCCAGATAAAATGTTTCACACTCACTCTCTGAATATTCTCCTGTGCTTTAACTTTTCTCCATGTCTTAGGAAACTTAATCGTCTAGGCAGCTTGCTTCTCCAGCACTCCCCTCTATTGTCTCTAATCTTTTTCATTGTTACCACTTAGGACCCTAGATAAGCATGCTTTCACAGTCTTGGTCAACTTTTCTTATCTTCAACATGGGGTTACTATCACACCTAGTTGGCAGATATGTCCAATTAAATGTAGTACCGCACATTGAGTGCCTGGCACCCGGGATTTGCATAAAAGCTAATCATAATCAATTCTGGCGCTACAGTCGTCGCTTCTCATCTACTTAACAGTGAGCTCCGAGGGCTTCTGTGGTTTTTTTTTGAAGATGTTCAAGTAAGAACTGTGTGTGCGCTGGCTGGCTTTATGTCAACTTGACACAAGGCAGAGTCATTTGGGAAGAAGGAACCTCAATAGAGAAAATGGCCCTACAGATTGGCCAATAGTGCATTTTCTTGATCGATGTGGGAGGGTTCGGCTCACTACGGGTGGTGCCACCCCTAGGTGCTGCAAGAAAGCAGGCTGAGGAAGCCTCCAGGAACAAGCCAACAGGCAGCACTCCTCCGTGGCTTGTGTCAGCTCCTGCTTCCAAGTTCCCGCTCTGCATGAGTTCCTGCCCTATAGCAACAGCCAACGGTGGACTGCAGTGTGGAACTGTATAGCTGAAATAAGCCCTTTCCTCTCCAGTTGCTTCTGGTTATGGTGTTCTATTGTAGCAGTAAAAACCCAGCCAGGACAGTGTTGGGAGAAACTGATGGACATCTCTCTAACATGCATTTAACATGGGCTCTGATTTGATGCTATCCTCAGGTTGAAATTGTTATCTATCCCCTAGTGCCTTCAGGTACTTCATTTTTGTGAGATATTCAACATGAACATCCTAATTTCGTAAAGTATGCTTTTTGCAAATTAAAACAAGCAAGTTTATTAACTGATCTGTTTGGATGCTAGAAGCAATTTGCTCTTGCCTAACATATTTTAATAGACTTATTTGAGATAGATTTCCATTGTCTTTATTTTACACCTCCTCAATGTGCCCAAGTACATGGCTATTCCTGTGTTTTGGGATGAAAAGTCAAGCAGACTGCCTGCTGCAGGTGGACCTCCCAATCCAGTAGCGATCTTTGTGGGCGCTCTGGGATTGACTTAGAGGACATGTAGAAAGCATGATGTGATTTGTGACAAGGCTTCAAAATTTTTAATGTATGATAAATACCTTTAAGGCTGACAAAAAGGCCCAGAGAGGCCTAATTAAAATACTAAGGAATGCCGGGCGGTGGTGGCGCATGCCTTTAATTCCAGCACTCGGGAGGCAGAGCCAGGCGGATCTCTGTGAGTTCGAGGCCAGCCTGGGCTACCAAGTGAGTCCCAGGAAAGGCGCAAAGCTACACAGAGAAACCCTGTCTCGAAAAACAAAAAAAACAAACAAAAAAACAACAACAACAACAACTAAGTAAAATGGGATGCCAACACAACACAAAGATCCAAAGTGGGACCTTGGACTAACCGTCATGTTATTATCTCTTCTCAAGCTTGCCAATCCCAACTGTGTATTTAGACTTAGAGACTGTGAGCTAATTCCTGAGACGAAATATTTTCCTCTCTATCTGTATACAACCTGCTAGTTTTCTGAAGAGGCCCAATTCACCTATATAATGCATGGAACTGAGTTATCAACAAATCTATAATCACTTAAAAAAAACTACTTGGTAAGTTTAGTATCTTTTGCTATGTGTGTGTACATGTAGTTATATACAAGTAAAGTTACATAAGAGATAAGCAATAATATACGTACAATTATGTTACCAGCAAATAAGAATCCCTGAAACTCATTTTTCTTCTCATTATCTTTCATTAACATCCCATTGTTTATGCAGACTTAAGAAAATACAAATAGGAGAAATTACTGCAATCCTATTTTAAATTTCAAAATTATTTATTTAGTATGCTTGAGTCATGAAAATCTAAATTACATATTAATTAATATAGGCACTTTAAACCTTTAACACATTTTGTAATATATATTTTCAAGCAATATTCACTATTTTTACAAGACAGGGAAAATACAATTTTATTTATTCATAAAATTATACATAGGAAAATACAATTAACAACTTCAATGTTCTGTTGTCCAATTTTCAGTTCTTAAGGTACATTATTTATCACGTAACTTTCAAAATCCTGATCCAGTGCAGCAAATAGGTTTAAACTATAACATTTCCTCTGATAGCGGTTTGCTCACTGTGATTCAGTTCTGTGAAGGATCATCACTTAGGGAACCTCTGGGTCAGCATCACAGCCATATCTGAATTTTTGGTCACAGAAGTGTAAGCACACAAGGTCTTAGCACTGGCTTATGCAAATGCTCCACAAGGGTGTCCTGTGCACAGGGACGGTCTTCAGCAAGCCCCATGGTGCAAGCACCTCACTACTGCTGCGGGCACTGCAGGAGCACCTCACTACTGCTGCGGGCACTGAATCTCCGGGGCTGACTTTGAGGACACGAACATAATGGTGTCTGATTTCTTACAAGCCCCCTTTTCCAATTTGCTTGTAGTTTCTTTCCTTTTTTTCACTTCTGTTGAAAGCTTTGACTCTGCAGTTAACCTACAAGCATTAAAGCGTATATTCTGAATTCAAGTATGGTCAAGCAAAAGAAGTAAATGCCTAGTAGAGTGGGTCTCGAACACTAAATGACCGACTCTAAAGAACTTTTATGTCAGGAGGCTTCATTTTTTATAATAAAAATAATTAATATAAAATAATAATTAATATAAAAATAAATATCTTCAAATCTGATAAGAGGTCAAGCAATGCCTGAGTTAAAGTATTAGGTAAAAGGAGATACACGTCATCAGAACCCAGAACACAAAATTCAAAATGCTAAAGCAATATTTTAAGGTGGACACCACATTCAAAAGGTTAACAAGCACAAGATAAAATAACATGGAACCCAGGCTACCCAAGTAGATGTCTGTCTCAGACAAGGAAACAGAAAGCAAGCAAACAAACAAAAAAAAACCTTCAAACCAACTTTCCATCAGGCATGCAGTAAACAAACAGTGCAGGAGATGTTTAAATAAAAATTCTTGCTAGGCATGGTGGTGCACACCTTTAATCTTAGCACTCCTCTCGGGAGGCAGAGGCAGGCGAATCTCTCTAAGTTCTAGGCCAGCCTGGTTTACAATGTGAGTTCCAGGACAGCCAGGAATACACAGAGAAACCCTGCCTCAAAAAACAAACAAATTCTTACTGGAAGAACATTCATTAAGTGAAGACTGAAAGTGCAGTATTTCAGTTCTCAACAAAGCCCATCTTTACTGTGACAAAGCTAACCTCAAACTGTGTGTCTAAGTTAAACATGCAGAAAATATGTAAGGTTGGAAATGTTTTAAGTTAGTAGATGGACTTATACACTTAAAAACAAATTTCTGTGGTATTTTCTTGTGTGTGTGTTTTTTTAAGCAGACAAAAATTTTCCAACGTTGCAATGTGAGTCCATTAGGGACATGCATTCATGTAATGTTTCTCAAACAACCAAGGGCAGGGAAAGAAAGGCGGACAACAGACAGCAAGCTGCAGTGGCCATCTAGAAACCACCTGGAGACGCCCTGTCAAACACGGACTTCACACACAGCAGGCAGCACCTGCTGAACCCCGTCCAGACCTGCCTGAGACCAGGTGTATGGGCTAGAACATGAAGTTCTATTCCATGTGTCACACAGATCGAAACATTATTAAAAATTCAACAGAATGACACAACAGTAGCAGCTGATGTTTTCCTGGTGAATACTGCACTTGGTAACACTGAGAACTTAAACCACAGGACGCACACTAGGCAGCCCTTGGCTACAGGGTGCGCTGTGTCTTGCTATCTCAGTTCAACGTCTGATTCCGCACTTACTCTTTGACTCACGTAGCCCTAGCAGTTCCTGAGAGCTCGTCTCCTGGTGCAAACGCTCATCAACAAGCTCACTTTTCAAGTGTGTGAGGGCACTATTTTAAATAAACTTGTCACCGCACTACATGCAGACACCACCCATCTCCTTAAAACTATCTGGCTCCTTCTTTTTCTTTAATCACTTTTTAAACTTTGTGTACAAGTGTGTGGGTCCGTGTGTTCTAGCCTATCCTTCCTGTCCCTTCCTCCCATTAGTCCCTAAAGAAGATTTTCTTTATATTTTCATGTCACACGCACAGGCATGTTTTATGTACAGACAAAACCTGAGCCACAAATGAGAGAAACATGCACTATTTGTCTGAGACTGGCTTAATTCGTAGAGTATGATGTCTCCATTTGCATTCACCTTCCTCCAAATTACCCAGCTCTGTTCCCCCGTGGCTGACCAAGTTCCACGGTGTGTCTAGACCACGCATCCCTCAGCCCTGGCTCTGTTCCCCCGTGGCTGACCAAGTTCCACGGTGTGTCTAGACCACGCATCCCTCAGCCCTGGCTCTGTTCCCCCGTGGCTGACAAAGATCCACTGTGTGTCTAGACCATGCATCCCTCAGCCCTGGCTGTGCTGCTGGACATCTAGGTCAGTCCTACTGTCCTTCACCTGATCCTGCTGTATAGATCCAGAACCTTCAGGCAGTTCCCTGTGCCATTCACTCTTCTACCTTCTCACCTCTGTTAGCTTTACTTTTCTTGAAGGACAAAGCCCTTAGAACGTTGGTTCCTTCATATACCACCTGACACTTTCTCTTTTAGTTACAAACTCAATTACACAGAAACTGGAATCTTTGAAGTTTTGGAATAAAAATGAAACTAAATTAGCTTTGATATTTAAAAATGTCAAGCAGGCATCAAAGCTTACTTCTGAAGGCTTAGTATAAATATCAAAAACCATAAAAACTTTTACCTGCTCTTACCCCAAAATTTAAGTCTAAATGTCTTAGACTACTGAAAAGTCCTTTGAGAAAGTAAGTTTTTCTTTCATGGCTACTCTTGAACCGAGAGAAAAACAACAGTACATTTATTCCACTCAGCAAAGCACCCAGGTATGCTGGTTTACCTAGCGTCACTTGCTATTCACCATCCTTTCTTCCTGCAGTCACCTTAGTCTTTCTGAAAGCTGAAAAGATTCGAAGGAAGACAGACCAAACTGCAGAGTTACAGTGCACACACCTAGGAACACAGAGCAGCATAGCACAGTCGGGAACACAGAGCAGCATGGCAGTCAGGAACACAGAGCAGCATGACACAGTCAGGAACACAGAGCAGCATGGCACAGTCAGGAACACAGAGCAGCACGGGACAGTCGGGAACACAGAGCAGCACGGGACGGTCAGGAACACAGAGCAGCACGGGACGGTCGGGAACACAGAGCAGCATGGCACAGTCGGGAACACAGAGCAGCACGGGACGGTCAGGAACACAGAGCAGCATGGCACAGTCAGGAACACAGAGCAGCATGGCACAGTCGGGAACACAGAGCAGCATGGGACAGTCAGGAACACAGAGCAGCATGGCACAGTCAGGAACACAGAGCAGCATGGCACAGTCAGGAACACAGAGCAGCATGGCACAGTCAGGAACACAGAGCAGCACGGGACAGTCGGGAACACACAGCAGCATGGAACAGTCGGGAACACAGAGCAGCACGGCACAGTCGGGAACACAGAGCTCAGGAACACAGAGCAGCACGGGACAGTCAGGAACACAGAGCAGCATGGGACAGTCAGGAACACAGAGCAGCACGGGACAGTCAGGAACACAGAGCAGCATGGCACAGTCGGGAACACAGAGCAGCATGGGACGGTCGGGAACACAGAGCAGCATGGGACGGTCGGGAACACAGAGCAGCATGGGACGGTCAGGAACACAGAGCAGCATGGGACAGTCAGGAACACAGAGCAGCATGGGACAGTCGGGAACACAGAGCAGCACGGCACAGTCGGGAACACAGAGCAGCACGGCACAGTCGGGAACACAGAGCAGCACGGCACGGTCGGGAACACAGAGCAGCACGGGACGGTCGGGAACACAGAGCAGCATGGCACGGTCGGGAACACAGGGCAGCATGGGACGGTCGGGAACACAGGGCAGCATGGGACGGTCGGGAACACAGGGCAGCATGGGACAGTCGGGAACACAGAGCAGCATGGCACGGTCGAGAACACAGAGCAGCACGGCAACACAGAGCAGCACGGCACAGTCGGGAACACAGAGCAGCACGGCACAGTCGGGAACACAGAGCAGCATGGGACAGTCGGGAACACAGGGCAGCATGGGACAGTCGGGAACACAGAGCAGCATGGCACAGTCGGGAACACAGAGCAGCACGGCACAGTCGGGAACACAGAGCAGCATGGCACAGCTCAGGCAGTAGCAGGAGGAAAGATGGAGAAGGCTGCTGACGGCCAGGCAGAAGGACACACTGACCTGGGAGAGCTGGGGGTGTTCCCATTTTGTTCACGTAAGGCCTCAGCATTGCCTGGACCATCCACAAGCTTCACACATTTCTTCTCCTTCTTTGGCTGCACGTCCAGAGGCGGGCTTTTGTGGGGAGCGAGGCTGGCTGGCTGAATGGCTGAAGAGGCTGGCTGGCCCCACTGCACAGTGTTATCATTGAAGCTATTAAGGCAGGACTCTTTCTCCTCTCTCTGAAGTGGCAGTCTAGAAACTTCTTCCCTAGGGGCACAGGCAGCAGGTGTTTCTTCTGGAGTAGTTACATCCAATGGCAGCACCTCACGTCTCTTTTTGAGTACAGGTACTTCAATTTTCTCTGAGAAGAAAAACATTATTAAAATATATGCTCAGTGAATCAAAACAAAGACACAACCTGAGGAAACCGAGGGAGTTATATATAAATTCATTCCTTTTTTGGTACTCTTAATATACATTTTTCTCTTTGATAAAATATATATATATATTTAATTATTGTACCTTTTTTCAATACTGTCACGTTTTCATATAAGCAGATATTTATTGCATGTTGGCGCCCCACACATGCATGTGTGTCTCCATTCTCTCCCCCTCCTGCTGCCCCTCAGTCTCCTAGTCAGCCTCACTTCTACTTTCTTGTGCTGTCTTTCCCCCCATCTTCTGATAGACACCCTTCGCTGTCTGTCTCTGTGTCCAGGAGAGGACTCCAGACTCTGTCCTCACTGAGCACCATCAACTCTATTGTGAAGACCGTCTATTACTTTTTCCTTGTAAATTCTGTATATATACAGCTCTCGGAATGATCAGATGTGCTGGAGAGCAGGAAGTTCTACTGAGATCTCTGGCAGGTGAAGCAGCAGTGGCAGAGTCCAGGAGTTCTGGTTCGAGTCCCACAGTGCAGCCAGGAGACCTTGTGCAGTCCCTTCTCTGCACTTCAGTATCTTTAAGACTGCTTCACTCAGTACCCGCCTTGTAGGGATGGAATGAAAGACAGCTGGGACTCTGAACACTGGTAATGCACACCTACTATGTCTAAAATGTATTCAGAATCTGGCCACTTCTATGATGGCTATCTCCCCAGTCCCAACCACACCCTGCCTCACAGTAGCTGCTACAGAGCCTCTATGCTCAAGGCCTACCAATCCCGTGGGGTCCCATACAGCCCCCCAATTACTCTAATGTCTTTCTCCCACTGCCACTAACGTGCCCTTTCATTTTCAACCCCCAAACATCAGAGGTCTGAGGTACTACAGCAAAGACAGGGGTCCTGCTCCACACTTCTGCCTTCAGATCAGCATGCCCCCCTTTCTTTTGCACTGCTCCTCTAAGTCACTCAGACTCCCAACCCTGTGTCTTTGCTGGGTTGGCAGACCTCTGGAATTCATACTGGGTAATTCTTAACCAGGGGAGCCTACTGGAATCTTGGAAGAGAAAAAGCACAAAGAAAGAAGTCTTTTAAAAACTATAAAAATCTTCCTAGTGTCAACAACCTCCCCCTAGTGGTGAGAGTCACTGTAGTTCACAGAGATGATCTCAAAGTTAGGCAAAGCGAACCTGGTTAAGAACCCTTAAACTCAAACATGCTAACACAACCTTTTGAGGGGGGGATGGGGTCAGAACCACAGCATTCATAGATTTCTTAATACTGACTTTCTATTTTTCAACTTAAACACTATAAAATCCACTGTTTGTAGTATATCAGCTGCAGAGACTGTATGAGTAGGCTATTTTCTGAGTAGTTAAGATTTATTGTATTTCCTGCATTAAAATGTTTTTCTGTAAAAACAGAATTCCTGGGCCAGGCATGATGATACACACCTTTAACCCCAGCACTTAGCAGGCATCAGTGGTAGGATTTCTGTGAATTCAAGATCAATCTGGTTTATACAATGAGTTCCAGGCTAGCCAGTGAGAGTCTGTTTCAAAATTAAATATAAATAAGTGAGTAAATAAATAAAGATCCAAGCTGAATGGTGGAAGAAGATGATAGAACCTGTACTGCCATCAATTATCCCTTGAGTTTGAATAACCACGCAATAAAAAACACCTCATAGAGCTCAGAAAACCAAACTACAAAAGCAAGACGGCGAAGACTCTGGAATACACACACACACACACACACACACACACACACACACACACACACAGAGCAACTGGAAGGTCCTCTGTTACTGTGGTCCTCTTTCACCAAGCCACTAGGGCATCCTGCACAGAACTGTGACTGTGCTGAAAGATCAGAGGGGGACATCTGACTTTCCATCATCCTGATTCCCTGGGGTGTTTCACTCCTACACTGGCCCACAAGGGAGACGACCAGGGGCTATTCTACCCCAACCCAGCAGAGAACAAGAAGAAAAGGGCAAATAGGAATTAATATCCAGATCTTGCCGTGGTCCTCCATCCCTGCCAAACCTTCCAGACAGACTATGTACAGGCCCCGTCCTGCTGGAGGCACAGTCCACATGGTCTTTGGACTCGAGTGTGGGGCTGGCTCGCCCACATGTCCTGGGTGCCCCCTTATACACTGTCCATGGCCACCAGGTGGACACTGTACCAGCCATAGAGCTATCACAAAACTGACAGCTAACCTGTGCTGGGGGTGACCTCCAAATGCTCAAGTGGAATGTAAGAAGTTGGTTTGCTGAGAGTTTCAATAAACAAACAAACCAAAAGCAAAAAATCAAAACACACCCAAAAACACCAAAACAATGAAATAGAAGTCACAGCCAAACAGAGATGGCAAGGAATATAACGAACACCTATTTCATGAATCCAGAGATGTATGTAGGAACTGAGAAAGCCAAGGAGGGAGGGCCTAAACAAGGTGCCCACGACAGAACTAAAGACATGCGTGGGACAGTTGGAGACAAGGGGTTAACCATTTGAGGAAAACCAGAGAATTCGAACATACAAACCAGATGCAGAAAATGAAAAATGTAAGTAAAAACACACACACACACACACGCACACACACACACAGTAAATGCATACTTAAATATCTTAAGTATAAGATGCTCACAGCAGAACTGATCAGAGTAAGAATCAGTGAGTCTGAGGACAGACAGGCTGTTCAGAATAAAGAAAAAGAATGAGTGAGAAGGAAGGAAGGAACTTCAGCGCCTTTGAGACACCATCCAAAGGGAAAGTCTAGGCCACTGGCACCAAGAGAAAACTAGAGAATGACGAAGGGCACAAAGTTTGCTCAAAGAAATAACAGAAAGCCGCAGAATCCCAAGAAGAAATGTCCTTTCTATGGGAAGGTCAAAGTTTGCTCAGATCCAACCAGAGTCAAACTCTCAAAGGTCACAGAACATTCCGAGAGCAGCACAGGGGAGGTAGGGGACAGCCATGTCCCCAGCAGCAGACTTCAGAGGCTGAAGGGAAAAGCTGCCAGGCAAAGCGGTTCTGTGGAAATGGGAGATGGACGCCCTTCCCTAATAGAAGCTGAAGCAATTCACTGTGACTAGACCTGCCTACAGAGATGCTAAAGCATGTTCAAAAGAAGAGGGTGAAGATGCTCACATGCAACGTGAAACTATCTGAAGGTGGGCTGGGCTGGAGTAACAGTAACAACGGCTCAGTGGACAAGAGCACTGGCTGCTCTCCCAGAGGACCTGGGTTCAATTCCCAGCCCCCACATGGCAGCTCACAACTGTCCTTAACACCAGTTGCAGGGGATCTGATGTCCTCTTCTGACCTCTGCAGGCACCGGGCATGCACAAGGTGTACAGACATACATGCAGACAAAACACCCATACACACAGAAATAAATAACTCTTCGTGGGGGCAGGGAGCATCTGAAGTTTTAAAACCTGAAATGATCAGAGAAAATCTAAATATTCAGACATGACAGTCACACAGCTCCTATGCACTCAGCAGGAAGATTTAAAAATAGCACTAACAAAGGAACAATTATAATCAATTGTTAAAGGATAGAAAATACAAAAAAGGCATGAATTTTGACATCAAAACTCAAAGCAAGGAGAGAAATGGAGCTAAGAGAAGGGTTTTTGGGGTTTTTTTTTTTTTTTGCCTTTGTCTTCACACTTCAGCTCGATATAACTTGTTTTAAATATAGGGTGTTCTTTACGAGCTTGTGGTAATTATGGACAAAAAAGCTAAGGTCGACAGCATGTAAACAAACATACTGACCGAGAAACACCTCTCAGCAAGGAAGACAGTAGGAGAGAAAGAAAGGAAGAAAGGCCTGCCAGAAAACAACCAGCAATACGGCTGGTTCTTAACGATCAGCAATTACCCTGGATGCAGATGGATTACATTATCTAATTAAAAGACAGAGTGGCTGAAGGCATTACAAAAACAAGAAGAGAGGATGCTGCCGATGTGAGACTCATTTCATCTGCAAGGATATGCAGAGGCTGCAAATTAATAAATGAAAAATGCAATCCACATGGAGACCAGAACAAAGTGGGATATTTATGTCAGGTCAAATAAACTTCACATCAAAACTATGAGATTAGGACATTAAAGAATGGTAAAGGGGGGCTGGAGAGATGGCTCAGAGGTTAAGAGCACTGCCTGCTCTACCAAAGGTCCTGAGTTCAATTCCCATCAACCACATGGTGGCTCTCAACCATCTGTAATGAGATCTGGTGCCCTCTTCTGGCCTGCAGGCATACATGCAGACAGAACACTGTATACGTAATAAATAAATAAATCTTTAGAAAAAAAAAAAAAAAAAAGAATGGTAAAGGGGCCAAACCCAAGCCTGTAGCATACATATATACACACACACAACACACAAACACTGATACAGCCCTCTCTATTAGAGACAGCAGCATACATATAAACACACACAACACACAAACAAACACTGATACAGCTCTCTGTATGAGAGACAGCAGAATACATACACACCCACACAACACACACCAAACACTGATACAGCCCTCTCTATTAGAGACAGCAGCATACATACACACCCACACAACACACAAACATTGATACAGCTCTCTGTATGAGAGACAGCAGCATACATACACACCCACACAAAACACACACACACACATTGATACAGCTCTCTGTATGAGAGACAGCAGACAAGTGACACCTGGGGATGGCCACGCCCACTTACAGTAGTGGAAAATCATCCAGACAGGAAGTCAGCAGACACTCCGGATTTAAAGTACACTCCAGACTTCAAATGGAGCTAAGAGAAACTTATAGAACATTCTACCCAACAGCTGTAGAATCCATTCTTCTCTATTGCATAGGAAAATCACGTTAGGGGAAAAAAACAAGTCTGAACAAAAACAAACATTTGTTTTGGTGGGACCCCAAACCAAGGTTCCATCAAACATCTTTTCTGACCCCAACCAAACAAGCAGCAACACAGCTGATCAACGCAGCTGAACAGAAAGCTGAGGAATTAACCAATTCATTCACACAGCTCGTATGTTCACAACGTCAAACAGGGAAGGGACCTTCAATTAACGGTGCTAAGAAAACTGGCCACTACATGCAAAGTACCAAACACCTCATCTCTCATATGAAACAAAACCAGCTAAAAATGGATTAATCACTGATGTAATATGAAAATACTAGAAAAAACAGGGCAAGTGCTACCTGACTGCTAGTGAGGACCTTTAGAGAAGACCTCAACAAGCACAACAATAAAAGCAAAAATAAAAAGTAAAAGCAAAAAAATGGATCATATCAAACCAAAACTTCTGTAACAGCAAAGTAAACAACAATGGAAAGGATCTACAGAATGAAGAAAAGTCGGCAAAGTATATGCCTAATAAAATAGTAGCGTCTATAAAAATTATAAAGACCCAGAAACAACATACCTCAAAAACAATCTGATTGTTAAAAGAGCAAACTCGGGGCTAAAGAACGGCCCTCTGGGTAACGATGCTCGCCCTGTGAGTCTGACAACCTGAGCTAGAGCTCCAGGAACGAGACAGAGGAAGGAGGAGAGAGCCAGCTTTCCAGTGCTGCTGACGGATCACCACATACACTGTGGTGTGTGAGCACACACCACACACAGGTACACGCTCACACGCAGTAATAACAAATACATATGGAAAAGACAAACACTGTGTGACCTCATTCACCTGAGAGCTCCTACAGCATGATGACTCTAGTTAACAGTAACACACTGCGTATTTCAGATAGTTAGAGGAAAGAACTTTCAAAGTTCTCACAACAGAGAAAGGGAAAAGTTTAAGATACTAAAATTAAGCTATGAGTAGTTCTGAGATATTAATAAAGTGATGGATATTAATTACCTTGATTTGATCATTATACAATACATACATGAATAGAAGTATCACATTGTACCCTATAAATATGTCCAATTACTATGTGTAAGAAGAAAAACAAATAGAACTTTCAATATGGAGTTGGAGACATAGAAAGCCCTTGAGAGCAAGACTCCATCTCAGCCTTTCTAGTGGTGGATCCCAAGGTCACATGACTAATTTCTGGTCAATGGAATGACAGCAGACAACATATACACTGTATTTGATCAGTCCTGGAATGCCCCTCCAGAGGTTCAGTAGAGGGGGGGAAGGGATAGAGAGGAAGGAAGGGAGGGAGGGAGGGAGGGAGGGAGGGAGGGAGGGAGGAAGGGAGGAAGGAGATAAGTACTTGAACCTAAGCCTTGCTTAGTTCTTCTATAAACAAATTTAGCTGGTCTAGTTCCCAGTATCAGCTGTTTCAACAAAATGAAACTCTTTGGCCTGTGCATGGTCATATGTATCTATGATCCCACTCAGAAGGCAGAGTAAAGAAGGTCAGAAGTATGAGGCCAGCCTGGGCTGCACAGTGAGACCCTTTCTCAAAATAACTCCAAAACTCTTTGGGACATCATGAGATGCTACAATCTTCAAGGGGAGAAACTCAAGTTCTTGCTGTTCAGTATAATGAACTCAGATATCCTAAGAAAAAACATTATTATATTCATGTTCAGGTAACCAGTTCTCTTAATTTTCTTACACATTTGACAGCTAAACTTTACTACAGATATATGATCACAAGTTAAGCTTATGATGACACTGGTAAAAAGCTACAAAACATGTCTTCACTTCTCAGAGCTAGTCACGATTTGAGAGACAAAAGCCTACGAAACACACACCTTCAGGCTCATACTTCAGCTTTAATTCATCTAGCTTAGCTCTCAGCTTCATGTTTTCACTTTCTGTAAGCTGAAGGTGCCTTTCATTTGCAAACAGTTTCCGCTCAATATCCAGGGCCCGCTGGCTCTCAAATAACGCCTTCATTCTCTGTATGGACAGTTCACCCTTTGTGCCTTCGTTTTCTTTTCTACAGTAACAGAAAAGAATAATTAAAGAATATTAAAACAGCCAGGCGGTGATGGCACACACGCCTTTAATCCCAGCACTCAGGTGGCAGAGTCAGGCGGATCTCTGTGAGTTCGAGACCAGCCTGGGCTACAGAGCGAGATCCAAGACAGGCATCAAAACTACACAGAGAAACCCTGTCTCGAAAAATAAAAAATAAATAAATTTTAAAAAAAATTAAAATCGTACATAGGGCAAACATGGTGAAATAAGTCTCGTGTATTACAAAGGCATTTCTCTGAGTTTTTATTAATAAAGAAAAGAAACAGCCGGGCGGTGGTGGCGCACGCCTTAATCCCAGCACTTGGGAGGCAGAGCCAGGCGGATCTCTGTGAGTTCGAGGCCAGCCTGGGCTACCAAGTGAGTTCCAGGAAAAGGCGCAAAGCTACACAGAGAAACCCTGTCTCGAAAAACCAAAAAAAAAAAAGAAAAAAAAAAAAAGAAAAGAAACAATAAACAATTAAAGTAAGCAACCCCCCCACAAAAATTTCATGGATTCTTTAAAGGAAACAGAGGGAGAAACTTTTTTTTCCAAATGCACACATACATACCCCTTTACATTTTAAATTATATGAAATTTATTCTTGAATTTTGATGGAGAAACTTAAGAGTTTATTTCACTGACCAATCCGAATGCTAAACACAAAAGAAATGCATATTTTATATAAACTCATATGCTACACAAGGATATTTTATTGACTTTCTTCTGGAGATTATTTTTTAACAATTAAAAACAAACAAATAAAAAAATCAGTCAGTAATACTATTATAAGCAAGTAAACCCTTTATCATTGTATTCACAATCCCAAACACTTACTTTAACTTATCAAGCTTTAGTTGAAGTAAATCTGCATAATAGGTGCTGTCTTCTAGAGTACCAGGGCTGGCTGATGTGGAAGGCTTAGATTCCATACTTTCATATAAGTTCTAACGAAAGCAAAAACTCTTATTACACAGAGCAGACAAGAGGCCAGGTCTGCTGTAACAGCAGCAGGCACCACTAAGTTGGAACTCACCAGTTTACAGTCACCAAGCTAAGACCCACCCTCTTAACTCACCTGCCTTCTTCTGGAGTAGGGAGACTAAGCAGTTCTCTTTTCAAATAAGGAAAGTGGCTCAATGTGACATGGGCATGACAATAACATGTTTAGTTCTGAAACTAAGGCTTCCAACCACACCAGTCCCACAGCTCCCTCTCCTAGCTTTTAGAATGGAAGACGCAATGACTGTGGGTTCAATTCTGGACTTTAGAGAAGGGCTATAAAATGGAAAAACACAGAGAGGAAATCCTTGATGTTACTGAAGAATATTCTTTGTATTTCTGGGGGGGGGGGGGGGTAAATTTGTTCAAAACTTTGCAAACAATTTTAGGGAGTGCAAAAACCCAACTCTCCTTAATTTCAAAATGTACTTTTCAAAGTACAGTGATCAGCCCATGTAGGCACACCACTGCCCAATAATACACTATACATTTAACAAAAATGTCATATTTTCCAAAGTTTTCTAAGAGATGGAAGTAAAACTTACTATTTAATGACAGACTAATGGCCACAATACAGAATGCTTAAGGGATCATTAATATTTACAAAATCTGTCACTTACATAAACTTGAATCTTTTACTAGATGCTTAATGAAAAGATACTAATGCTCCCTAAGGTAATTAAAAAATTTGAAAATTTGTAAATGTAATATAATCCTACAAAACACCACCAAATAGTTCTTTCTAGTGTGTGTGTGTGTGTGTGTGTGTGTGTGTGTGTGTGTGTGTGTGTGTGTGTGCGCGCGTGTGTGGGGGGGGGTTGGGGGGGGGTATGGGTGTTGCATGCATCAGAAAAGAGAAAAGCAAACATGTAAAAGCAACCAGAACACTATGAAGAAAAAACTAGGGGAACTAAAGTCTAAAAATAAAAACATATACTAAAAAACATCTGTAACTTAAATAGTATAGTACTGCTGTACAGAGGTCAACCAAAACATAGAAAATGTTGAAAGATTCATGCACATACAGAAACTTGTTATGCGATAAACCTGGCATCTCACTGGAGCCAAATTTAACAAATGATGCCAGGACTGACTTCACATCATACATACAAGAATGAGGTAAGACTGCCGTGAGCTCCAAAAAAATCTAAACACTGGATCGACTTGTACTGAAACTGGAATATTGAAATTATGAGTAACTGCATAATAAACTATAGAAGCTACAAATGTAAGGATTTTTCAATTCAAACTTTGGCTATATCTTTGAAAAGATATTACATATACCTTAAATTTCTCCAGATTTTTAATTTCACCTAAAAGGTCTTTTATTTCACCATTCTTCTGTTCCAACATGGCAAACAACCGTTCCTGCTGCTCAAATTCGGTTTGAGATCCCCTCATCCTCAGCAATGTGGAGATTTGTAACTAGAAAAACAACCACCCCCAAAATCACAATCAAGATCCTGGGAAGCATACTTCTGGTATAATTCCTGTCTTGTGCGCCACTGATCTGAATTCGGCCTGGAAAGTAAAGAGTTCTTTTTCATCTCATAATCTGAAAACATTTGCATCAAAAGTTTTGTTGTGGGTAACTTTCAAGTACTTATTTTGACTACTTTTATGTTATCGGAAGTCTTTAACATAATTATTTATGTGTCTGTGAAATGCACATGAAACTACATGCTGAGGTCAGGCAGCATGCTATTCAGACAGTACATAGCCTGGCCAAACATCACCTGCTACTCGTCACTTGAATTAACACTATGGGTCGACTGGGGGTCTTCTAGAATTTGTAAGTGAGTGGGGAAATTGTTAAGTTACTCACAGAAACTAACGACAAGGATGGGTAAATGTTTTACTACATGTTAAGTCCAGGACAACTCTACAAGGCAGGTTTTGGTTAGCACCTTCCTATTTACAACATGAAAACGAACACCCCATCTCAAGTAGCTCATCTAACTCCCAAGTTTGATTACTGAATTTCCTCAAGGTTTTGGTAAAACACTTATGGAGGAAAATGAGGAAGGAGCCTTTCTAGCAATCTATTACTACCTTAGCAGCACTGGGCACAAGGGAGGAGGGTCAGATCCAAAGGACGGGTACAGCGAGGACTGTTGCTTTCTCACTGCTCTAAGCTTCTCGTAATGAGGAAAAGAAGACAGTCTACTTGACTTAGTGAGCTGCAGGGGTAAGAGGCCATGAGCAGTACAGAGTTCAATAAAAAATAAGCCTGCGTGTGAGAGCTGTGAGAGAGTTAAGTCTAGATGACGTAGGCAACAGTGCTACGCTCAAGAACACACAGTGCTATGCACAAAAAATAAAAAACTATTTCTCATTCCAACTGGACAAGAAGACTCACCGTCTACCTGGTGAATCAGTGAATAACCACTAAAGCAATTTGCAGCTGCCTTCCCAAGGTGATATTTGAAATATAAAGAATCATGCAATTCTACAAATAATTACATAGTATACTTCCTGAAGGAAACCAGTTTCCTATATATAGCTGCTAAGACAAAGCAGATTTAAAGCCTTTACCAGTCTATACCTTCATTTTGTTCATCTGCTCTCTGGTGAATGCATTTTGCTTCTTCATTGACTGATACTTGACTTTCATCAAGTTGAGCTGGCGTTCCATAGCCACCCTTCGATCCTCCACCTGGAAAGTATTAACGTGTTTGTTCTTGCAGTAAATAAAATGCCAATTTAGTCAATTTGGTCATGAGAACACTTCTAAGTACCTCTGCAAACAGGGAGTTTCCTTTACTGTTGGGATCCAAGGCTTGCTGAAGGGCATGACCCAACTGCACCTGAAGATCTTGATTTTCTATGCGAGCTTTCTAGATTGAAAGGAAAACAGTTTCACTGGCGGAGATCAGCAAGAGGGCACTGGGTTACTACTAACTGGAAGCATGACAGCACTCGTACCATACCTCTAAGGCGTTATAATACGACACCGCTTCCTTCTCTCGCTCTTCTTTTTCTTCTTTAAGCCGGTCTACCTGATGCATTAAGGAAGTATTGAAGCACTCCAGTTGCTCTTGTTTGTACTGCAGTTCATGCACCTCTTCCTTGAGAGCAGCCTATTCAACATGAATACAGAGTTCTCATGAATAATCTCTCACACAGCAGCTGATTCATCTATTGGCTCCCACCTCATATTAAAACAAAACCATTCGAAGATTGCCAAGTAAATTTTAAAAGGTTTTTAATTAATGAATTTTTTGGCAGAAAGCCAATAAAAATACCTTGGAAACTGCCCCTTTTTCCTTTGAATTTTAATTATCCACATTTGAAATGAAAAATCTATATTGACATGCATTTTAATTTCCACTATGCTAACACTGTATATTGGGCTTTTATGATCCAAACCAATATCAGAATAAAAGCCTATAAATGGTTCCAGAGTTTCCAAAATGTAAAATCTGCCTTAAGTAATCATGAAATAGAAAACTATTTTATGAATGAATTAATCCACCTGAAAACTCTGCAGAGTGCTTTTTGGTTACATCCAAAACCATTTCAGTCCTCAAACTGCTTCTTAAGAACAACTACAAGAACATGCACAATGATTCTAAAGTAAAATGAGGAAACACCTGAAATATAAATTACCTTCACACCTTCCATTTCAGTTAGCTCAATCTGAAGAGCCAGCACCTCTGAAGACATGCTATTGACCATACGCTGCTCAGACATTAGCCGGAGCTCTTCCGATTTGTGAGCGAGAACTTCCTCTTGGTGATCCAGCTTCTGCTTCAGCTGCTTTTCACTTAACCTTGCTTCATCTAGTTCCACTTTCAGTTTCTCTAACTAAATCAGGAAAAGAGAAAGAGTCACAACCTTTGAACTCAGGATTCCTTGAGCTTCCTTTGGCTTTCAATCCTGAAAACTTTAGAGTCTATACCTGATTTTCCAGATGCTACTCTACAGAAACTCACTGGATCTCAGTGACATGAGCAAAGCACCTCTCCCTCCCCACCCACAGTGCTGGGAACTGAACACAGGGTCTTGGGTTTGCAACTTAAACATCTCTCACCAAGTTACATCCCCACCCACTAAGCGTCTTTTAAACAGTGACCTATACTGTTCTAGAAATTCAGGAATAACCCACACTAGTCACCCAAGTAGACCTGGTTTGTTTAGAGGCAACTGAAGGTGGTATAACCAACTACCAGGCAGCTGTAAAGAACGGGAAGCAGTCCTCATCCCCAGCCCTTAAGAAGAAGAGACATGGGTAACAACGACACAAGCAGGTAACCTGATTAGAAGACCACAGCAGTGTGATGATGGTCTGGACTACAGGGACAGGAGCTACCGAGAGATCTTATAGGTCAACTCCTTGGAATTCAATGACAGATTCAATGTGAGAAATAAGACAAAGATAATGAGTAAACCTTGAGAATTTTAAAACAAATGGTTTGAGAATATCGGCAACACCATTTTTTAAAATTTACTCTTTCTTCTATAAAAAGGCCATCTTTATAATTATCTTTGCTTTATCTTGTCCCAAAATTTCCTCTATCATATCTGCTTAGGTAATTAGGGTGACTGCTAAATCCATGCAGGAATGAAATACAAGAATACATCATTTCCAGTTATCCAAATCTCTAATCAGATTAGCTGCAAACAGAATTACTACCTGTCAGTGCTACAGGCAAGATGATTCTGATTTTCACCGATACCATTATTCAAAATGGAAAAATATGTTGTAGTATAATGAAAAATTATAGGTGGAAACAGACATGGAAAAATATTAAAAGACACTACAACACTACTAAAAACTGAAAAACAGACTTCTAAGAAAACAGGGCATTAAAGAAATCTTATCAAGTTTTCATAGAGTAGGATCTGAAAAAAACAGGGTACAAACTCCACATGAAGAGAAGGATAAGCAGAGCCCTAGATTTCTTCGAGGAAACTGGAGGTCCAGGGCAGCAGGGGGTTCTGAGAGTGAAGGGACGCTCACTGAACAGCTGCCCACTGTTTACAATGGAGCCAGTACATGAGGAATCAGCAGACCACGGCACAAGCTCGGTACCGGGACTTACTGTCCGACAGCCTCAGTTCAAATAGCAGCGGACAGTTCTAGCTCGTATTGTGTTCAGTGTCCTCAGTCTGCCTAGCCATTAGCCCCTGTTCTGTCACAATGGAGATAAGATGACATCCTGCACAAACTTTGTTCGGAAACTGGATCTTCCCTCATTTTTTCTTCCATAAACACTTGTTTCACCTCTAAAGCACATTAACTCATTAGACAGTACTGGTTTGTATGTGGAGTAGCAGCACATTACTAACTGCAGGAACTGCTACAGGACTAGTTAGTTCTCTTGCAAGGTGAACCACAGCACATGCTATAAGGAGGCCATACTGGTCACCAATATTACAAATATTCCAAAAACAAATATTCAGATACCCAATTTAAATAATTAAATAAATAATTTCACATCATTAGAAGGCTAGTACGTATACAAATTACATTAATAGCTTATTTCTCTGTGTTTCCACTCAAAACATGAAGACAGAGGAAACTGATTTTTGGTCTTTTTGCACAGCTAGTCCTTAAGCAACCCCCCCCCCCCCCCCCCGCCCCCGATGCTCACAGGCATCTAAACAACACAGGCTGTTTTGCTGACACAGACAGATCCAAACCTTGTTTTTCAGGCCGTTCACTTCCTGCCTATGGCTTCTGTTTAGCTGCATTTCTAGCTGCTCCAGCTGCATTTTCTGTTGTTGTTTCACAGTTTCACATTCACAACTCAAACTTTCCAACATCCGACTCTTGAGCTCAACTTCTCTTTGTAGGGCATACTTCTCTTGGTTATAATTCTGAAAACACACTTCATTGCATTAAAAAACTTAAGTCATTAGGTATTAGTTAGCATCTTAAACTGGCTCATACCTGTTTCATTTGCTACTATCCAAGTAACAACCACCTGTCAAATTGGGAATAACGCAGTTATCAGTGTTTTACTTTTCTGGGGTGTGGGCAGGGTTACACACATGTTCACATGGGCAAGCACACATGTACATGTGTGTTGGTGTAGGCCAGACAACAGTCTCAGGTGTTGTTCCTCAGGCAATGGCCATCTTATTTTGGGGACAGAGTCTCTCACGACCTAGAACTTGCCTGCCAAGTAGACTAGGTGGGACTGCCAGTGAACTGAGCCCCAGGAACCCACCTATTTCTGCCTCTCCTGCACTAGAATTGATAAGCATGTACCAACATGTCAGCTTTTTAAGTATGGGTTCTGGGAACTATACTCAGGTAAGCATTTTACCAAATGAGCTATGAGCCCAACCCTGCTTATCAGTCCCAATGAACCCCAAAACGTAGAGATTGCAGTGGCCTCAAAACAGTCAAGCTGAAGATAGAAAGGCGCTGGTCCCAGGAAATTACTGACTTCTGCTTCCCAATCTGTGGTCTCTGGTGCCCTGACAGCCAGCAGAGGAAATGGTAATGGAGGAAGCATTCTCTGGATTCCAAATTCAATGAACCCCCATACTGATGCGTGATAAGACTTTCCTGAAAAATTCTTGCCCTTGGTTAAACATCCACCACCATGGTAGCAGCCAAGTTTTATCTCAAGCTCATCAAAAACTAGGAATTTGACTGATTATTAGGAAAGTTACCTTTTACTTAATACAGTACAACAACAGAATCTTTCCAAAATTAAAATCCACTTGAGAGACAACAAGAAAAAGCAAAGGGACCTTTGGTAGCACAAGACCAGAATCACTGTACCCACCTTACAAAGACAGTCAGTCATCCTCCCAACAACTGTCCATTCCATTCCATGCTCACTTAAACAGCCAGCCAATGTGCCAGGTAACAAACCCAGAGATAGACAAAACATGGCGCCTAACCTCAAGGTCAGTCTAGAACAGACACACACTTAAAAATTGTCAGTACAGTGATCTGTACTGAGGACAAAGGTGGGCTAAGAGGAGGCTTTTTTTAGAACTAGATCCTACAAACACTATATGGAGGACCAAGGAGAAATTTAATTCTACTTAATATTATGCAAAGAATCCCAAGGAATTATGAAGTGATTAAAAGAAAACCTCTCATGTCTATGCCTTCAAGGAATATGCATATGCCACATTCTTAAGTCTAAGTGCCCAAAACAGAGACTCCAAGACAGCTAAGAATTCTTTTCAAGTATGCACCATAATTCTGACTAATATAATCCTTATTATTTCAACAACTGAGTAGACTTACCACTATGGCATTATCCATCGAATGGAATGTTTTATGAGAGCTTATGTCACCATGACTAAGAGATAAGAGACAGTGCATAATGTCAGATGGCAAAGGATGTTACATAGTAGAACACGGGAGAACCTGGAAGAGGAGGCTTTCTAAGGGAACGGATGTATGACCAGGTTTTCAACGTAGAGGTAGGAAATGCTCATGGATGCCAGATGCTGTGATGCACAGAATAGAGGGGAAGCATGTTCAACAATCACATTGTGCCAGGCATCCAAACTCCAGCACAGTAGCAGATGTCATTTGCATCTTATCTGTAGGAGTTATGTTCCAGAACCCCAGCCTGATGCCTGGATCCTCAAACAGTACCAAACCCTACAAATACCACACACCCCTCCTCCATATACAGTATTTATCCTGACAAAATTTAATTTTAAATTTGACACAGTAAGAAATTAAAAATACAACCAATAATATAAAAAGACTGAAAAGTTATGTGCCATTTTTCTCTCAAAATCTTACTGTTTTTATGATGCAAGATAGTATAATACCCATGTGACAGTGATGAGGTGTGGCCAGTGTAAGGCACGATGACACAGTGTTACATGACTAATGACCTGACAAGAAATCATCAAGAGGAGCACCATCTGCTTCAGGTATCCTGGACAGTGATTCCTGTCCCAGGCAGGATGCAACCACTTCAGCTTTATAAATTCTATGATATGGAATTTCCATGTATTATTTACGGACAACTGTACTGTAAAGTCCAACTGCAGATGGGGGACGTATGTTAATGTCCATGCTGGAGTCGTGGCAATTGCTTCAGTTCACTATCAAGGAAGGATAAAAACCCACAGCATGACGGTCTATCAATCCCTATTGAAAGAAAAACGAAACAAGGATGCTTTACTAGCACCCAGATGTTCCTAGTAATCATTACTGTTTGAAAATGAAATGCTCTTCCTTATATAATGCCTTCAGAAAAAAAAAGTAGAATGGGTAAAAAGGAAAAATATTGAATTAACCTTTACTTTTAGTGTTGTTACCTAAAAATCATTTACAAACTAACCACAGAATGAAAACATACTAAGGTTAAAAAAAGGTATTGTTATTCCTTCTAAATGGTTTTTTAAAAACATAAGACAAATATCCTGTCATCATAGAGCCTTCATCCAGTAACTGATGGAAGCAGATGCAGAGATCCACAACCAAGCACCAGGCTGAGCTCCAGGAATCCAGTTGAAGAGAGGGAAGAGGGAATTCTATGAGCAAGGGGCATCAAGATCATGATGGGGAAACCTACAGAGACAACTGAACCAAGCTAGTGGGAACATATGAACTTTAGACCAACAGCTGTGGAGCCTGCATGGGACTGGACTAGGCCTCTGCATAAGCGAGACAGTTGTGTAGCTTGGTCTAATTAAGGGGCCCGTGGCAGTAGGATCAGGATCCATCCCTGGTGCATGAGGCTTTTTGGAGCCTATTACCTATGGTGGGATACCTCGAACAGCCTTGATGCAGGGGGAGGGGCTTGGTCCTGCCTCAACTGAATGTACCAGGCTTTGCTGACTCCCTGTGGGAGGCCTTACCTTTTCGGAGGGAATTGGGGGGTGGGTTGGGTGGGGAAGTGGGAGGAGGGAAGAAAGGGGAATCTGTGGTTGGCATGTAAAATGAATAAAAAATTTCTCAATTAAAAAACAAACCACAAGACAAGGCAGGCTAGAGAAGGGATTATGGGGAGGGACAACACAAAGACTTTTGAAAGAAATGACTGTAAAAGCATCCTGACATGTATACATCTACAAAAGGAGTTTAAATAGTGTTTCCATCTAATTGGGGGCAGGTGCAATATCCAAATCAGACATCATATACTACCAAGTAAAACCTAACACCAGGAATGGGTTACATATTTTTGAGTTGTTGGCCAATGGTCTCCCACACATGCCCTCCCTCAACATTACAGGAAATATTACCAGTGCTATTGGTTGTGGTGATATATTGTGTACCCTAATAAAATATGCCTAAAGATCAGAGAACAGAACAAGCCACTAGATTAAACATAGAGGCCAGACAGTGGTGGCACACACCTTTAATCCTAGCACTCGGGAGGCAGAGATCTGTCTAGATCTGAGTTCAAAGCCACCCTGGATTACATGAGATTGACTCAATCTAGGAAAGAAACAGAGCCAGGCAGTGGTGGCACATACCTTTAATCCCAGTACTTGGGAGTCACATGCCTTTAATCCCAGCACTTGAGACCTCACACCTTTAATCCCAGTATTTGGAAAGCATAAATACCATTAATCCCAGTACTAGGAAAGAAGTGATGCTGGGCAGAGAAAGGTATATAAGGCTTGGGGAGACAGGAACTAAAGCCCTTTTCAACTGGAGAGCTTTTCAGGCTGAGGAATCCCAGAGGTAAGACATGGCAGTGGCTTGTTCCTTTGTCTCTCTGATCTTTCAGCATTTATCCTCAATATCTGGTTCCGGGTTTTTAATTAAAAGACCAATTTAGGAATTTGTGTTATAATTGGTTACCCTCCACAACTTGCCATAAGACCCAACATGGAGAAATCTAGCTGGCATTCAGCTAGAAGCTTCATGCTACTGGCTAGTGTTCATAGTGATGAAAAGTGCTATGTATAACATCAGAGGAGAAAAGTAATAATCGATCTTACCCACCTATGAGCCCTGTGAACCACAATTTAATGACTTGCCTACAAGTTAGGCCTACTGGTTCAAAAGTGGCTTGAATGTTAGGGGAATAATCACCCACCTTTTTACTTGGATCTGAGCCCTCCCATCTCCTTCTATCAGATGAAACCCATACCTGACACTGTCAGTGAGGCCAAGAACCTGAGGCTAGACAGGTCATGGGCCCCAGCGGAGAACCCACAATTATTAGTCTGCTAAATGAACACAGCAATGGAACAACTAATAACATTCTGCTATACCCAAAGTTCAGTATGTCACTCAACTCTCATAAGGAGGATCTCACAGTGAATGGTAATTAACGCAGAGACTTACAACGGGCAGCGAGTAAAAGACTCTGGAATGCTCAGCCCTAATTGGGATATCTTATATCACACCCTCTCCTCAAGGTTCTGAGATCCATTTGGAAGAGGGGGCAGAGGTAGAGGTAGTAGATGACTTCAAGGAAAGAACATTTTTCATATAAAACAGGGCAGACACACATGAACTCATGGGAACTATGACAGCACATACACGCCCTTCATAAACTCCAGGTAGACAAAATTCCACCACAGAGGAAGGGAAGAGGGCACAAAGTCCCACCCCTAACCAAGAAGCTATTTGCGACTGCTAGCTGCTGGGAAAGGGGAAATCAGTTTCTCCAGTGGAGTGACAATGGGTATGTCAACCACAATCTAGGATACAACCCACACCCAGGAGTCATCAGCCAACACAAATTGCACTCCATGATTGTTGTGTGTTTTTTAAAGAGAGAGAAAAAACATGAAGTTGGGTGGGGAGGTGGAGAGAATCTGGGAAGAGCTGGGGTAGGTGGGGAAGAACATGATCAAAATACATTGTAAAAAATTTCAAAGAATAAATGAAAACGTTAAATACAACAAAACAAAGATAAATAAAATTCAATGAAATTAAGAAAAAACAGCTGGAATTATTTATATCACTCTCCTCAAAGCTCCTCTATTTCAAAGGAAACCTAAACTTGGTGAGGTATTTTCAAAACAATTGTGTAACACAACTTTATTTCCACTCTGAGATTTGCAATCTTTGTTTATGATCTGGCATTGAGGGCTTATCAAGAACAGGAGTACTCCCTCAAGACCCAGCCATACCACTCTTGGGCATATACCCAAGGAATGCTCAATCATACCACAAGGACACACGCTCAACTATGTTCATAGCAGCATTATTGTAATAGCCAGAACCTGGAAACAACCTAGATGCCCCTCAACTGAAGAATGGATAAAGAAAATGTGGTACATATACACAATGGAGTACTACACAGCAGAGAAAAACAATGACATCATGAGGTTTGCAGGCAAATGGATGGAACTAGAAAATATCATCCTGAGTGAGGTAACCCAGACTCAGAAAGACAAACATGGTATGTACTCACTCATAAGTGGATACTAGATGTAAAGCAAAGGATAACCAGACTGCAACTCACAACTCCAGGGAGGCTACCTAGTAAAGAGGACCCTAAGAAAGATACAGGGATTGCCCAGCGACAGAGAAATGGATGAGTTCTACATGAGCAAACTGAGGGTTGGGGGGGAGGGGTAATGGAAGGCAAGGGTCGGGGGAAAGAGAGCTTAGGGGAGCGGGAGGTCCCAGCTGGATCAGGAACAGAGTGGGAGAACAAGGAAAGAGATACCATGATAAATGAAGACACCATGGGAATAGGAAGAAGCAGAGTGCTAGAGAGGTCCCCAGAAATCCACAAAGATACCTCCACTATAGACTACTGGCAATGGTCAAGAGGGTGCCTGAGCTGACCTACTCTGGTGATCAGATGGCCGAACACCCTAACTGTCATGATGGAACTCTCATCCAGCGAATGATGGAAGCAGATGCAGAGATCCACGGCCAGGCCCCAGGTGGAGCTCCAGAAGTCCAATCGGCGAGAGGAGAGATTATATGAGCAAGAGATATTGAGACCATGACTGGAAAAAGCACAGGGACAAGTAGCCAAACTAGTGGTAACACATGAACTGTGAACCAATAGCTGAGGAGCCCCCATGGAACTGGACCAGGCCCTCTGGATAAGTGAGACAGTTGATTAGCTTGAACTGTTTGGGAGGCCCTCAGGCAGTAGAGCTGGGACCTGTTCTTGGTGCATGAGCTGGCTTTTTGGAACCTAGGGCCTATGCTGAGACACTTTGCTCAGCCTTGGTGTAGGGAGGAGGGGACTGGACTTGCCTCAACTGAATCTACCAGGCTGGGCTGACTCTCCAGGGGAGACCTTGCCTTGGAGGAGGTGGGAATGGGGGGTGGATTGGGGAGGAAGGCTGGGGGGTGGGAGGAGGGAGGACAGGAGAATCTGTGGCTGATATGTAAAATTAAATTAATTATAAAATTAAAAAAAAAAGGAGTACTTGGAAAAATGACAACTGCCATTAGTGATTTTTACCTGATATATTTCAACTTCTGAGATTCAAAGGTAAAAGACCAAGCATTTAGTATTAAACTGATTTAGTCGTTTTAATAGTATTTGTGTGCCAGGCAACAGGGGTGGACCAGTGAGTGAGAGCAGACAAACTTGCTCTCATGTAGTTTGCAACTCTGGAGACAATCAGCACTCCAGAGAATTAGGAGCAAATCTGACAACTTTCCATCACAGTCAGTGTTTGCTCTGCTGAAAGACATTTCACTGGAAGTCTGAGGTTGAGGACGGAATCCAGACGCGCAGGGACAAGTCACTCCAGGGGAAGAAGCGTCTAGTATAAAGCCAGTGTAGGAAAGACGGAGGGAAAGTGGTTTGAGAGGTGGCGATGTTAGGCAGAGGCCAAAGCACAGGGGTGCACACCCAAGCAAAGAGCTCAGATTCTGCCGAAAATGGAACAGAAAGCCCCGTAAGGTTTTCAGAAGGAAAGAAACGAGACTTCTTGTGTAGTTTCTCATGACCACTTGGATGTGTGAAGACTGAATGGTAGTGATGGAAGCTGGCAACCAGTTAGAAGGCCACAGCAGTTCAGTGGAAAGATGGCCGTGGTCTGGGCTAGAGCAGCAGTGTCCCAGGCAGATGCTTTGGTTGTGCTAGTTGGATTTTTTTTTTAAATCAATTTAGCACAAACCTAGACATACATGGGAAGAGGAGATCTTAACTGAGAAAATGCCTCCATAGGACTGGCCTGTAGGTAAGTCTGTGAGGCATTTTCTTGGTTAATGATTGATGTGGGAAGGCTCAGCTCACTGTGAGTGGTGCCACCCCTGGGCATGTGGTCCTGGATAGTATCAGAAAACAGGCTGGCCAAGCCAGTGAGTAGCATTACTCCATAGCCTCTACAACAGTTCCTGCCTCCAGGCTCCTGCCCTGACATCTCTAGATGACTGATGGGTTACACGCTGTAAGATGAAATCAACTCTTTCCTCTCCAAGCTGTTTTTGGTGATAATGTTTCATCACAGCAATAGAAATCCTAACTAAGATGTAAGTCGAGTCCTTAGATTTGTTAATGGATAAAATGTGGGACTCCTTGACTTCAGGCTCAAGCAACTGGATAAATGCCAATCCATTTACTAAATCAAGAAACCATTCAGTTAACAGACAGGGGACGAGCAGTTCTTTCTGTGTCAAGCTTGAGATGTCCGTTAACGGCAGGTCCTTGAATACACTAGTTTAGCCTTCAGGGAGAACTAAAGGCTTGGTGAGATGCCATGGAGCACTTAGATGTTTAGAACTAGAAAAGAAGTGAGGTCACTTAAGTAGAGCGTAGACTAAACAAAGCCTGGCAGTAAATGTATCCAACAGAGCAAGCGTTATTTGACTTTTCAAACTCAGAGCACACTGTTGGAAAGAACATTGGAAATTCATTTAGTTCATTCTCTTTTTCAATGGAACTAGGGTGGGTAAGATTTAGGTCTTCAAAGAAGAATGAATAATTGTTAGACAAAACAAGTTTACAGTCCCTAAGCACATCCTTCTTCTTCTTCTTCTTCTTCTTCTTCTTCTTTTTTTTTTTTTGTTGTTGTTTGGGGTTTTTTTGGTTTGTTTTTGTTTTGGTTTTTTGAGACAGGGTTTCTCTGTATAGCTTTGCGCCTTTCCTGGATCTCGCTCTGTAGACCAGGCTGGCCTTGAACTCACAGAGATCCGCCTGCCTCTGCCTCCCCAGTGCTGGGATTAAAGGTGTGCGCCACCACCGCCCAGCAAGCACATCCTTGTTCAGGATCCTACCTCGGTCAGGGTCATCACTTCCTCGTGACATTTATCCAACTGATTCTGCAGTTCAGTTTGCCTCTCCAACAGCTGCAAGCCGTACTGTGCGGCTTTCAGTCGCTCCTTTTCACACTCTTTGAGTTTGTGCCGAAGATCTGTGATAGCTGCCTCCATGCTTGCCATTTTCAGTCTACCATAAAGAGAAAATGCAACCACTTGAGCTGAACCTGGAACTAAATGCAGTGGTATCAGAGCAAGAGAAGAAGTACATAGTTTATACTGTCATATAAAACCAAGGGATATTAGGTTTTAGTCCTGATTTGTAAGACAACACCTCTAATCAACAATAGCACAGTACTGTCCACTGGATTTCAATGAATACAGATCACTGGCCCAAGGGCTGTTCTGTAGAAGTGGGCTGAAAGCCTGACTGGGATAGGGTTGAGAGAGAAGGGTAGATGATACAGGATGTGGATAAATGACATAAAAATCCAAGTGAAGCTCCAAAGCCTGATGTTCTAACCACTTTCTGGTCCAACCTTTCAAAAACACAACCTGCATAAGGCATTAACAGGACCACTTCCACCACTGACCCACTGCATTGTTTTGTAAACACCTTGCTTTATCTATAAGAACAGTCAAAAGCCTCTAACTAGACGCATTAAAGCTAACAACGCATGAACGCTGACTAAGCATCAACAGAAATACCGTGAGAGCCAATTGGGGATTTTAAACTTTCTGAGGGCCACATCTTCAAAAGTAAGCACGGTGGAAAGCATTTAACCCGATAGATACAAACTGTTACCACTGCAAACTCTAACCATTGTAAAATAAGTATAATAAGATGCTACAGTGAGAATCCATTGTGTGTGTGTTCCACCGGCTAGGGATCATGGTACTGGAGCACTCATACCCGGAGTTCACTGAACTGGGTATCAAGACCACCCGCTACCCGTATTTATCAGCCGCGGAGCACGCAGCGAGGCGGTCCGACCGAAGACTACACCGACCTGGAAAGCGACTCCTGAGACTTCAGGTTCCGGGAGAGCAGGCGTTTCGCCAGCGGCCGCCCGGTTCTCCCCTCCCCCTGCTCGTCCTCACCTCCCTCCTCACACTTCCAGCTGCTGCAACCAGAGGCCCGTCCACAAGCACTGGGCGCCCGGATTCGTGACACTACATCCACCTCAGCACAGAAAAACCGACCAGTTCATTCAGCGGAACCACTGCTAAAGTGAGTGCCGGGGTTCTTTTTGAAAATTGTTCCCGCGAGAACTCGCATTCCTCACGAGATGTCTTGTCCAATCCGCGCCTCCGACACAAACAAGAGGCGCGGCTTGCGGCGACTGCGCAGGTGCGTGCGGCGCGCCCAAAGCATAGGCTTTTTTTCCTGGTCAGTTTTCCCGTGACCTGTTTTTGGGGGGGGTCTTGGGGGTTTTTTTGGTGTTTTTTTTTTCCGCTGAGTGTCTATTTAAGTGAATTGTGTTTCAGAGTTTTATTTATTTGTTGTCGTCTTTAGCAGCGCCATTGTAGAGGCAGTGTCGCTGGGCCACAGAGAGGTGACAGCACGCAGGCCAGTGTGAGACTGACCCCCCCTTATAGCCCAGCGACACTGTCAGCCCCACACTGGCCTGCCTGCTGTCACCTACTGTAGCTAAGGCATTTTGTCTCACCCGTGCCAGGACAGTGCCACATTCCACACGGATCCTCCCGGTCACAAACCATCTTGCCAAGTCCACGGCATCCTTCAGTTTGCAGAGGAAATCGCGGCCTCCCCCAAAGAAACGTGACCTGTCAAAGTAGTAGATCTGCTGTTCAAACGAACTCCAGCTGCTCAGCAGGACAGCTGGGGCGCATGCGTGTTCAAATAGAAATGTCTTGCAAATATGCTTACTCTTTAAAAATGTAAGCACTTGGAAATCTGGAAAGTTCTAGTACCTGGTACATGGCATCATTTCTTGTTTCTCTAAGGACTTGGCTCTGTCTCTTTTATCGTCAAAATGTTTTACTGTGCTGGATCCTCCCCACCAGTAGACGAAATGACTCCCATTGCAAAATTTAATGAAAGCTTCCCCGACTCCAGTCAACCACAACCCCATTTCGTTTTTCTTTATATAACAAAATGAAAAAGGTCTTTCATTATTCAGTTTCTATTATTATTACTATGATGACGATGATGATGATGATGATGATGATGATGATGATGATTTTTGAGACAGGGTCTCCATGTACCTCTGGCTGTCCTGGAACTTTCCCTGCAGACCATGCTGGCCTTGAACTCACGAAGGTCCTCTTGTCTCTGCCTCCTGAGCTCCGGGACGTTGTAGAATATTAGTTAAAGATGTGTTACACTTGTTTGTGCTGTGGACCATTTGTTTGATGAAGCAATGATGTGTTGCACTCTTATGTTGCATTTGTGCAATTTGTGAAGCTGTGTTTCTTCGCCTGTCTAAAACACCTGATTGGCCTAATAAAGAGCTGAACGGCCAATAGCAAAGCAGGAGAAGGGCTAGGCGGGGCTGGCAGGCAGAGAGAATAAATAGGAGGAGAAATCTGGGAGGAGGAGATCAAGGAGTGAGAAAAGAAGGGGCCAGCCCCCCAGCTACACACCCAGACATGGAATAAGAAGGAAAGAAAAGATACTCAGAATAGAGAAAAGTAAAAAGCCTAGAGGCAAAAGATAGATGGGATAATTTAAGAAAAGCTGGCTAGAAATTAGCTAAGCTAAGGCCAGGCATTCATAAGAAAGAATAAATCTCAATTTATATTTATTTGGGAGCTGGGTTGCAGCTCCCCAAAGAGCCAAAAAAGAAAAAAAAGCAGACAACTACACTAGGATTAGTTTCTTCTGTTGTTTTGATATTCCCATCAACTGCGGTCTGGTCTTAAACCAGTACAGTGAATTATCTCTTGACAACATCACCAGTGATTTTTTTTTTTTTACATTCAGGCCAAATCTGAACTGTACCACAGCACCCCAGTGATTTCTACCCTGCATTGTCCAGTAGTCAATATCCTCTCTTCCCCTTTTCTGCATTTGGCAGAGTTGAATGCCTCCATTAAGTTTTAATGTCTTGAAGTGCCATACCCCCTTGACTCCCTGTCTTCATGTGTAGACCTGTATTTCTGATGGAGCTAGACTAGGCTTTAAAGGAGTGAACTGAGTTTTAAAATAAGCAACAATGATCCTTCAAGCATATTTAGTCATCACTGAGTTCTTGATTAAATGAAGCAAATTCTATTTCCCCTATTATTTTCAAATTCCTTGACCTGGGAGCCAAACAACTCCCTTTTTTCTCCTCTGTTTTAAGAGATGGTAAATCATATATCTTCTCTCATGTAACGGATTAAGTGAGGTAGACAGTGGAAGGCTGTGATAAAATGTACCATCTAGGGGTTGCTCACAATATAGTGTATTATTTACATATATTTAATATATTTAAAATCAGGGCTGTTTAAATTCATATGGACATGAATGATACATGTCCCTACCTGAGAGGAAAATGGGTGTTTTTTTGGGGGGGCTGGATATTCATTGTTTTAAAAATTACAAATCTAGTGGCCCTACGCAGAGCTGAAAGATGGTGGAGCTAAGGAAGAGTGGACTCAAAGGGGAGAGACCATGTTCACAGTCTTAAAAGCCACTCACCCTGCAATTGTTCAATAGAGTTTATGGTCTTCTACACTGACCCACTACACGAAAGTAACATGGAGTCACTTGTGGTAATGGGCACACGAATAACTAAGCTCCAAGGCCATCATCCGTGGGCAGATGATTCAAATCAGTAAATGCTGAGCTGGGACCAGTGAAGCTGTCTCTACACTTCACTAGCTTCCTGTCACTAATACTGCCTGATCTTGTTTAAAGGAGTTGTTTGAACTTCTGATTCAGAGAGCTGCCTTATCTTAGCATCATAAATAAAAGTCAGTTATGGTCTTTAAAGTCAATTTGTCGTGGCTTTTGTCTTTTGGACATAACTAAGTCACGTTTTAGGAATGCCCTGGATAGAGTGCAGCCAATACCATCACTGGACACTAGATGTCACAAGTGAGATGAATTTTAATAGTCAGCTTCATAGATTAACTTGGACTGTTTCATAGTGCTAAGTGCAGATCTCCCAGATCAGCCTGGGGTCCACATAATGCCCTACGTGCCAAAGGTGGGGCTGGGCTGGGGTGGGGTGGGATCTTTTGTGTCTGCCATTTGCATTTTACATAATAAGAGATGGGACATTCCTCCTCATGTGATAGTGGGTTCACCAAGCATAGGAAAGGCCTCTGAAATCTGAGAAGCAGCAAAAATATCCACTCCAACCGCCATTAAAATTCCTAATACTACAGCTATTCACGTGGGGGTTGGCTGCTGTAGTAACTTGTCCTCATTCGCTCATGTGACAGTACTTACCTACTTGTTAGAAATGGTGTCCTGGGGTGTTGCGTTGTCTTGGAAAGGTGTGTATTTTGGTGCACATTTATTTCGTGAGTGCTTAGGGTAGGGTACTACAAAGGGAAAGCTCCTGTACTCAAGAAGCTTAGAGTTCAGTGGAAGAGGCATCCGTCAAATGATTCTTCCTTAGAGGATGCCTCCAGCACCCTTGTTCTTTCATTATTAAATAGAGCTGTGAGCTAGATGACTTTGGGACCAGGCAAAAATGAGTACAGGACTCTGAGACACCAAGCAATCTGAAATAAAACTGAATCAATTAATAAAGTTCCATGATTGGTAGAATGGACTGAGAAATGAGGTTTTAAAGGTTATGATGAAGGTTGTGGCCATCGAAGCCTGTAGAATAGCTAGACAAAGAAAAGAGAATAGCTGTCTGGGTGCAGGATACGGGGATTGTCCTAATCCATGGAATAAATAAGGAGAATAGCTGTCTGGGTGCAGGATATGGGGATTGTCCTAATCCATGGAATAAATACAGCAATAGGATCTAACCCAGTGGTTCTCAACCTTCCTAATACTGTGACCTTTTAATACAGTTCCCCATGTTGTGGTGACCCCTAACCATAAAATTATTTTCATTGCTACTTCATAACTGTAATTTTGCTACTACTATGAAACATAATATAAATATCTGTGTTTTCTGATGGTCTTAGGCAACCCCTATTAAAGGGTTCTTTAACCGCCAAAGGGGCCATGACCCACACATTGAGAACCTCTGATCTAACAAGAGAAAGAAGAAACATGAGACAGGCTGGAAATCGAATTGTCACAACTCCCCATGTGACAGCCAGTCATCATAAAGAGTAGTTGTCCAGGCAGGCAGATTTGACCGCTTAATAGAAATAATGACAGTGAAGCCTGGCCTGCAGTCTTCCTGCACCACTGTTAACTCCTAATGAGCCCCATTGCTACGTTCGATTTTTGTTTGAATAAATGAAGCCTTCTTTCAGCAACGTTGTGCTATCTCAGTACAATGCATTGATGAACTTCTGTTTTTCGTGCCCAGAGCATTGTGTATTTTATAAGCAATTCCTCTTGCCATCCATGTTCAGCCACGTGGACTTGTTACAGCTGATTCTTCCCTTCAGCTCCAGTGAACTTTAACCTGTAGGACACTCATCATCTTGATTACAGAAATTGGTTGAAAGATGGCCTATGAAGGACAAGCCAATGGGATTTTCATGGGGACTTCTGGGAAAATGGATTGTGCTAATTCTCTCTCTTGTGGCCTGAAATATGACTACCTGAGAAGATACTGGCCCTCCATAACATTGTGCTCTGCAGCTTCCAGCGCCGTCTGGCTTGAGAAAGGAATGAAAAGCAGGGATGGAAGTGGAGAATGATAGGAGTCCTTTTCTTGCCATTAGAGTGCTTCAAGCATGCCCTGGAGCTATAGCTATCATCATTCTGCTGCTCACAGCACTTCGGTTTGAGGTCTCTGTTGTTGGGAAGATAAAATATTTCAACCAATATACAGCAATGCTTCTGTCTGAGAGGAAGTGTCTCAGAGCGCTCACCCCTGCATGTGAAATCTGTAGCGCATCCTTCCTCTCAGGGCTCAGAGAGCATTGCACAAGAGAGGGTGGAAAGATTGTAGGAGCCAGGGGTAGGGATGACTGCTGCGACACTGGTTTCCCAGACAGAGGGCTTCATCCCACCCACCAACTCAAAGCTGCCGTGGCTGCACGCACAAGACCACGGCAAAAGCAAGTGAGTCACAAAGTCCCGGCCGAGGGCAGGAGCAGTTGGCCAGCGACAGCTGCTGGGGGAGTCCATTTTCTTTAGAAATGCAGCCACTGAGGGGCTGCCCACGCTCCAGTAAATGGCCTGCACCCATCTGTGCTATCCTGGCAGCACTAAGTAGCCTCAGTGGATGTAGAAGAACACCTGAAACTGAAGAGAAAGGTGCTGAGGTGATGGGGGTGGTTTGATCACGACACACTACAGTTATGTATGAAATTATCAAACAGTAAAATAGAATCATATGCCTGTCTGAGCTTGAGTGGACCCAAACTGCTAGTTCCAAACTTACAGTTAGGAGTTCTGCTGACTTCTAGACAGAGTGACTTCTTTGAGGGGGAAAAAGACTTGCCTGAAGGAAAAGAGGTTTATCCTAAGTGAAGGGCCCAGCGAATGGTAAAGGAAATAAAGGTCTCAGACATTACACTGACTAGTGTTCTGTCAACTTGACACAAGCTGGAGTCATCGGAGAGGAGGGAGCCTCAGTTGAGAAAATGCCTCCATATGATCCGGCTGTACACAAGCCTGTGGGGCAATTTCTTAATTAGTGATTGATGGGGGAGGGCCCAGCCATTGTGGGTGGTGCCATCCCTGGGCTGGTGGTCCTGGGCTCTGTAAGAAAGCAGGCTGAGCAAGCCAGTGGAGCAAGTCAGTGAGCAGCACTCCTCTGCGGCTTCAGCATCAGCTCCTGCCTCCAGGTTCCTGCCCTGTTTGAGTTCCTGTCCTGACTCCCTTTAGTGATGAACAGTGATGCAGAAGCAAAAATCAGATAAACTCTCCTCCCTCAGTTGCTTTGGTCATGGAGTTTCATCACAGCAATAGTCACATATAGATAGTCACAATAGACTGACATCTTGTGGGTAATCCTTTTCTTGCCCCTGCTTCAAACGACCTCCTGGCTCCATTTAAGTTGACTCCCCCCTCCCCCAGATAATCTAAGCACTTTAGAATTAAGATTGCCATGTTTACAGACATTAGGTCTTTTGCTTGCGAAGAACAGGACATAACTTTTTAGTTTGCTTGTGGGTATAAAAAAACAAAAGTCTTCATTTTTTTTTTTTTACTATTTACAAGATTGTGTTTCTACTGAAAACCCACTTTCCAGAACCCATTCCATATCCCTGTTGTTTTCAGACAGTGCTACAATTCACTGGAGCTCTTGGACTAGTGAGATGCTCGAATGCTCTCTCATAAAACATGTTCCCTAGTTATACTGCTTCTCCTCTTGACTTAAATCTATTTGACTCAAGTCTAAGGGGTGTGAGTGTCTTAAGGTCTCTCTGAGGTCTTGAATTGATTACAGTGAAATTTTGAAGGGGGGGATTCAGACTGCCTAATTATTAATGTACCTTATTTATAGGGTAAACTATTGGGTAATACACACTTTAGTCTGATCTACCAGGTAAGCAACTGGGTATCTGTTCATGGTCACCTCCTGCCTATTGCCACTAGGTGGCAGTCTTAGCAAATATTTCATGTGAAGGGAGCATCTTTCTGTCATAGAAACTAAATCCTACTGTTGGAAGAGGAGACTACTTGCTAGTGTCCCTTAGATTACACACACCTGCAATGTTAGGCATCTGACCATGGTTCTGTCTTAACAGGAATAGTCTTTCTCTCCTACTTAACTCATTTGTCTCATCCTTTTTCTCTGGAGAGGCCAGATGACTAATGTCTAAGAATATAATAGAGAGAGACAAAAATAATACTGCATGTTCTGAATCTAGCACTGACATTGAAATGTGTGCTGTGTTACAGCCTAGCCACAGCCACAAGCAGCTGGCTTTTCTGAGCCTCCACTTCCCTGGGGATGGTCAAAGCATCTGACTTAACAGATAGCTGTGAACTTCAATGAGCAAGCTCTTTAGCATGGCATCAATGACTAATAGTTGTTCTGATTAAGACCATCTTTCCATTCAAATATCACTCCCTTTTGGACCCTTTCCTGGCTTCCTAGCCTAGGACTTACCTCCTGCATGCGGTTCATAGCCCCCTGTGCTTAGCCTTCCGAACATGAACCGTTGGTGGTCATTTCATCTGCCTTCAGCACTAAACTCCAAGTCTTTTGAACCTAGAGAAGACCTTCATCTATTTTGCTCTTACAGATCTTTTTTCCCTGGTTTTCATCTCCAACATGCCAAGAAATAAGGAAGAGGGAGAAAAGGTGTCTTCTCTGACTCCTGTCTTCTTCCAGCTCTCAGATTTCCCAAGCAGCTGGGAAAAGACCCACATCCTCTCACAATTCGCGCTTCTTTGGAAATTCAGATCTATGAGCTTTCGGCACTAAAGTTACATTCTTTTCACTCTGTGTTAGCTCAGGGCTGAGAAATCTCTTGAGGGTGAGTAACTGTTTAAATGTTAGAGGACAAACAGTTCCAGGATCAGTATGCATTTAGCAGTTTGCAAGAAAGGTCGCTGTCCTTATCACTACACTTAAATTAGCAAAACTAATTGTATTTTGTCTTCTTGTGAAACTAGGCTGGAGGTTGATGTGGTCCTCTTTTCACATCCAGCTGTGTGAGATCTCCCTGCTGGTATGATCTACACACACAGGAATGAAGTATAGCTTCTGGTTAAGTCTGTAGAGTTTTCAAGTTTTCCTTATTCTGGAGTCACGAATTGTTTAGCAATGTGAACAACTCCTGAGAACTGTGGTAATTTGGTCACTGTATGAGCACCACAGAGTACAGTTACACAACCCAGACAGCCCAGGTCCATCGTGTGATGTGCTTTCTTGATGTTAAGATGTAAAGTCAATAGCTTCAGAACACACCTATGGTATCAGCACTCAGGAAGCCAAGGCAGGATGTTGACAAGATCTAGGCCCACCTGAGTCACGTAATGAAACCCTATCCCGGGAAGAGGGAGGGTGGGGGAAACGGGATGCACAAAGCTGCTGCCGGTCTA